TGTTGTGGTGTTGAAGTGTTCAAACATTGCAAGTATTTCCTTTACCGTCTATTACTAAAACAATCTTTTGCATCTATTACTAACTGTTGTCATGGAGGTTTTTCCAGTAGGTTTCACACGTCCACATTTCAGGTCCCTCAGGTTGCCAAGCTCTTCTCTTCACTGGGACTTGGTCAAAGACAAACCTCCTCTTGCCCTCTTCGCTTTTGGGTCGGGCCTGGAGGCTGTTTGGGGCCTGGGGGGGCCTTTGCCCAATGTCAGCTGAGTGGGCAGTGCCCGAATGCCAGGCACGGCGCCCCGGAAGCGGTCTGAACCCAGAATCTGTGCCGGAAACCCGGCGAATCAGTATGTTGTCATTTGCAGGTACAGCATTCGGTACGCTGCATGCTTGCAGTGTCTGGCAAGGTTGAGTCGAACTGGAGAAAGCAGAAGGTGTGTGACAGGAGGTCAAAGCAGGAGCAGTGGATGGTGGGGGGTGAGGACTGTGAAGGAGAGAGGGAGGCTGGAGAACCGCTTGAGGAATAGGTGGTGAAGCCGATCCTCTTCCTTGGCTTCTCCTCTGGTTGTCCCGTTGCTGCCGTTTCAGAGAAATCCTGGTCCAATTCCTCAGCAGCATCTGCTCAATCGCATGTAGGTCATCAGTTACCTGGTTGACCTGCTCAAACTGTCTCAGCAGGCTGTTGGCAGCCGGGAGCAGTCGATCCAGATAGCACTGGACGTCGTAGCTTTCTGAAATGATGGAGTCCTCAGAGACCTGGGATAAAGCTGAAGGCAAGCAGGACCTGGTGGGGCTGTGGACTTCAAGACCAGAAAACTGGGATCCCTGGGAAGATCTGGAGGGTGGAGAAACCATCCCCTCAAACTTCACTTTGTGTCTGAACTGGAAAAGAGAAAAGGAAGGAAGTCAAACTTCCCTACACACTTTTTCCTACAGTGATTTCTTACTGTTACCATGGACTGAGAGCTTTAGATACTAGCATATGCAGGAATTGCATTAGGTGAGTGAAGTACCTCCTTAGATTTACTGAGACCTATCCAGAGCTTGAGCCTCTTGATGAAGAACTCTACCATTTCGTAATCCTGAGGCTCGAAGGTGGGCCGGTACAACTCAGTCTGCACGATCCTGTAGGAGCGCAGTAGCAGGATGCCGCAGAACCGGCCCAGAGCCCACAGGCCTGTGCCCAGCAGAGCCAGGCAGTAGAGTGTCCCCAGCACTGGGTGCTGCTGGCACAGCCTCCTGACAACAGCACGTCCACGCAGTGCTGATACCAGGAGAGGCTCACCTGATTTTTTTCTGATCTGCCCGTCTTCATGCAGCCCATGTGAATGAACAGCAACAGTGGGAGAGCATCGACAGGGATTGGGGAGCCTGTTCCATGGAGAGCCGGTATAGGGGCAGGTTTTTGGAATGGTCTCAATCGGTCAATCACAGTGGGTCCCCAGAACTGGAGTTAAGAATCACTGTTATATTATTGGCTGATTGGGAGGTCATCCCAAAAATCCGCACCCACACCGGCCCTTTATGGAACAGGTTCCCCAGCCCTGGCATAAATGAAGGCTGCCCCACAGACCTCTCTGCCGGTCTGTTGCAGCGCCTTGCTGATCACCACCCAGCGTCTTACAAAGCGCAACGGGCCAACTGTCTGAAACCATGACCAGCGCTTTTATTAAAGACGTAACGGACATGGAAATTTGACAGCTGCACTTGTGAATACTGTAGATTGAGACCCTGGTTAAGAGGTGTAGAAAAGTAATGGATGGATGGATGGATGATGGATGGATGGAATGATAGCTCAAAGACGTTCCCTTATACTTAACCTTTTTTCATCTTAACAGGCCATAAAATCCCTCTAACATTAAGTGTTACATCTAAGTCTAACATTATTTCAATTTCTTCTCTAATATTATTGAGAAATGATACTAAGTAAGAACAGAAATAATATCAAGTAAGCAAAAAATTGTGTTACATACTGTAACTGATGTGCTGTTACCTTTAAGACCAGTAGTGTGAGCAGGAGGGCAGAGAGCTGACGGCTCAAATGGGCCAGCTGAGCTGCGTCATGGATGCTGACGAAGGTCCAGGGCTGCTTGCGAAGATGGGAGAGGTGAAGTCTCTCTGTGGTGCTGTGTGAACTTCACAGACATCGACTGGGTCCCAGCAAAGAATAAAACTTTATTTAGACTTTTTGCTCATTTGCATAATGTGAAACATCTTCTTTTTCTAACTTATCCTAGACCGTTCATCCAGCTTACACCAAATTTGAACGGTTGCATCTTAAGACCATGCAGACAAAAAGATTTTGCGATTGCGTGTGCATATGCTGTGGGGAAAACCAGACCTTGATAAACACAGGATCAAAAGTTAAACGCCTGGTCAAAGTTACCCTGTAAGTAATAACTGATATTGACTGTTGTGTATGTCCCACTTACACACACATTCAGCCTTTGGCAAACATAGTCTTAACTTTTGTGTAGCCTGTTTATTTAAATTGTAAAAAACATTATAGGAGTACACTTGCAGATAAATATCCCTGGGGTGTCACAAACGTGCTCTATTTCATTTACAAGTATCTGAATTGCATTAGTGGTCCAGCGTATAGCATATGAGGTGGAGTCAGGTGTATTGTTGGCTCATTGCTATCTTGAAGCAGCTGAACATTGGTTTAAAATCAATGGTGCAGTCTATCACTGCTGTTAAAAAGGCGCGTTTTCAACATGCCTACATATGTGCGCGGACAGCGTGCGTACACTGCTTGTTACATACAGTAACATGCAAAAGATTAAAAAATAAAAAGATTACAGTGACAGATAACACTGGTATACAGTGATTTTGGTGCCAACGATGTCTGAACGGTTTTAAGTTTATGGTGCTGATTAAGAATATGACTTCGGTTTTGCCAGATTGGCTCTAGTTTCTGGGATATTTAATAGTTAATTAACGCAACACGTTTGAAAAGCATTCAAAATTGCAAGAATATTTTTATTTTAGTTACGACTAGTAAGTAAACAGCCTAACATCATACAAAAAAGAAATTAAAAATATCTAACAGTGACAGGAAAAAGTTTTGTATGATTTTATTAATTAATACAATATTAATTAGTTATTGTTATTGTCAATGCTTCAAAAAACGCTGTTTATGCAATTTCCTTTTATGTGTGTCATCAGGACTCCAACAGTAGTCTGCCATCATGTGTATGTCCCATCTGCTTTGATATCTCTCCTCCATCACCTTCGTATCCTGGTGGAACCTCTCTCCTTGTTCCTCGCTGAAGTCTCCAAGGTTATCTGGAAATCGGTTTAAATGGCTAACTCCCAAATTTCTGAAGTTAGCAAGCATATCTTGCACCGATTCTTCATAATTGTCTGCTCTGTGATTACCCAAGTAGTTTTTACAAGAGACAAAACTCTTCCAGGCCGAAGTCTCAGTGTCATTCATGCATTTGGTAAAATTGGAGTGTTGATGCAGGCTCTTAATTCTTGATGAAGTCATAATTTTTACATGTATTTATATACTTATCAAGACCGAACTTTTTCGGTATAAACCAAGACTGGGTTGACAAACTTATACTGTAGCCGACTTTTCCTCTGCAAATTCACAGTTAAATTCTGGCTTCAAAAAGTCACTTTTACAGCATTGTAGGTGTAGTGACCGCTGTCCGGCGAGCAGGCAGGAAGCGGGGAATGACAAGGCAGGCAGACCGAAATCCAAAAAGCAAACGGGTTTTATTCAGACGAACAGGGCAGAAGGTGATGAACATCAATGACGGATCTGGGGAAACTAACTCAGACACGGACTAAGTACACAGGACAGGCTGAACATAACAGGCAACAGGTGATTACAATCGGGAAGTGACACGAGGTAACGAGGGGGGCGTGACACACAGGAGGATCGCATCATGACAGTAGGCCTACAAATTGAAATACAAAATAATTATATGGGATATTTCATTACCTAAGACAATGTTAAAGAGTCAAAAGACAGACCAAAAGCTATTGCATTTGTTATCACACAAGTTGCATTGGGGGAATGCATTATTTTCGTGGATTTCCATTATCTCAAAAACTAGAACCAATTCAGCAAAAATAATGGGATTTTTGAATTCAGCACCCTCAAAATGCCCTATATACATTCAAAAAACCTTGGCACCTGAATTTTTTTTGTAGACCTGTGTAATTAATGTATACGTCAAAATATTTTAAGAAATACATGTGATAAGCATAGTCAAAAAAATTATCAGAATTAACTGTCCGCTGTAATGACTAATGAAATTAACTAATTAAATTATTACACTAGCACCCCAGTATCTGTGGTTTCAGTTGTACTTGTTTCGCTGATTAATTACAGAAACGGTTCGTAAGTGTGTCGTGGAGCAAAAATACTTCTTCCTTTGCATAATCAAATCAGCATGTAGAATCGAGGGGGTGGAGAAGGGCGGAATTTACAAAAGAAATAACCGATCGAGAAATGGAGAGGGCGGGATGCCGAGGTGTTCGCCACGGTGGGAATTAAAGTAAGAAGTGGACGGACGAGCTGTCTTGTTAAATCGTAGAAAACGATGAAAGCGTGTGTAAAGGACACATGACGGTTACCCCCGAGTTAGTGTTCGTGAATGCAAGGCAATGTAACATCGAGTTTTATTGTCGGCGGAGGGGTGTAGATCCCGCGCCATTGCCGCCTGATTTGCTTATGTGAGACTCCATTATTCCCGGCTAACAGGAGACTGGTGCTCAGCACTACGGGCAAAAGCCTGTATGCTTTGTGTCGAGATGTAAACCTGAGGTAATTGGATACGTTTCTTCAGGAAACTACTACCTGCTTTTTGTGTCGAGTGAACTTAAACGAAGTTTTTCTCTATAGCTTAAATTAGCCTGGGCCACTTGTTAGTCGAACTGAGTAATTTTTTGTGTCTTTTTATTATTAATAGTACTTCTTTCTTTTGGATTGGAAATGTTTTTCCAGTACTGAGGTCTTTCTTTTCTGTGGGTAGGTATAACAAATCCCCATTAGTGTTTGATAAGGTTGTCTTTGTGTATAATGCGGTTGTCGTACATTAATGTTTAATTTGAACCTAACTGAACGAAAGCTGTATGTTTTATCATTTATGGTGCTTCTATCTCACTTAGTGTTAGTTCGCTTGAGCGCTCACGCAGTTTAGAAATCTGAGATAAAGTGAAAACAAAATTGTTTTCTTACTAAAAACAAATTGTAAAGTAGGGTGACCAGATAATCCATGTCAAGGAGGACACTTTGAGCTACTTCGGGTTTTACAAACTACTTCCAAATTAAAAGGCTCCTGTGCTCGGCTAAAGAGTTCAGCTCTTCTTGTGCTTTGACTGGTTTGTTTCCTTGAGTGAAAGACTCATCCAGCTGTTTCACATTAGCATTAGTGACACATGCATGCTTATAGNACATTAGCATTAGTGACACATGCATGCTTATAGGAGACTGACCAATCAACACACAGCAAGAACTCGGTGCTCAAGTGAAGTCCAGGTCCTTTTAATTGAAATGGTAATTTACAATTCCTGTCCTAGCTCAGAGTGTCCTCCCTGACATGGATTATCTGGTCACCCTATTGTAAAGCATGAGCTATTGTACGCTGTCGGTCGGCAGAGTGGGTGGGAAGCGAATTGGTTTTGGGGGTCAAGGACCTAGATCCTTGTGGTCTCTAAACATCCATAGAAGTACGTCAACCCCTAGTTCGCTAACGTGGCTGTTGCCGGTTACTTGAGTTTCAACCGCTCGCAAAGTGAGTACACGCTATTTTACATCAATTGTTTGTTTTTTTCGTTACAGGTTATGTACAGGCACGTAATACAATATTTTAAATTAGTAAGATCTACATCAGTAGCCTATCTTTATTACTATATCGCCTTTTGAGAATTAGGCTAAAACATTAGAATCCCGCTACTTTGAGAGTACAGTATTGTATAATGTACATTAGACTTATTACTTGGAATGTTGAAAATGTCTTACTGTGCTCACGAAAATTACATCTTTACAATGTTTCACAATTAAATACTAAATATCTTATATATTTGTTAAATTAATACTGAGTTTAGATCTTATTGTTTTTATTGTTCAATATTTCTATACTTTTGATCTGTCATTGTGTAGCACTTTGATCTGTCAACGTGTTTAACTTTGATAATGTGCAATACGAATAAACTGATTTTTTTTTTTTTTGATATACGAGTCCGGTTCGGTGTTATCTGTGGTTTCGGCATCAATAAAATGAAAAAGGGGAGAAACAGAAGTTCATAAAACAATTAATTCTACAATAATTTTTATTTCACTCATAATCATTTCACATGGTAGTACATACACCTTTTACATTGGTTTATATTACAGATCACATTTCAACACGATTAAACAGATTTGGCCAGACCCACCATGTTATTGGTTCTGTCAAAGATAGAGTAGTACTCTCTGATGAAAACATCGCCCAGGATCCAGAGATTGGAATCACCACCACTAAAACCAGTGCGGCAACCATAATATTGCGACTGGAAAAAAGAAAACGTTAGTTAAACAATTAAACTAAACTTCTAGCAAATGAAAGCTTTTCTAATCATTTTTCTGTTTTTTTAACGCAAATTGTTCACTTTTTTACACAATTTTCGCATTGTATTTAACAATACTACCCTGCCTCTTTTTTGTCAAAAATGGTACTCACCTGACGGACATAGGCAGAAGGTGGGAGGGTGAAGGAGTACCCATTGATATTGAAGTTCAACACAGGCATGCTTTGGATGTTGTTACAGTCCACAACAGCCTGGAAAAAGGAAAGAACCTGTCAGAATGCTATGTAACTATTTTAATATGCAGAAATACTGAATCGCAGATCTATTCACAGCAAGTGTCAATAAGTTGTCAGTTTATAAAGACTCCAAGGGTTTATATAAAATTCAAAACCAAATAATTAATAGGTGTTTTGCTTAAATCTTGAACATGCACATGGATATAACAATACCAAAACCTTGTCACTGTTATTAGTGGATCTGCATTTAAGTTCTTGATGTCGGAGAACAAGACAATCAACAATCTTACGTCTCCATTGTTCACAGTGGCTCCAACCAACTGATTGATGTTCGCAATATCGGCAGAGGGACCGGCGATCAGGGAGGTACCAGTGTCCACAATTGCCTGGCAGCCACCATTACAAGCCACAGTTTTTCCGTTGATGGTAACACTACAGTGGAAACATGAGTGAAATGTAGCATTCATTCATTTACAGTGGAATATTAATAAATGAGGAAAAATTGACTTTTATACATATATGCTGATAAAGTATACACAATATGTGGGCATGTTTACGGAGAGAAGAGAGTCTGGAACATGTAGTAGTCAGAGTAGTAAAATAGGTTTACCTTTCCATGGTAATCTGCCAGTAGGTCATAGAGGACAGGGGAATCCAGACAACTGAGCCAGTGTAGTAGTTGGTTTCATATCCACCCAATATCAATACACTACCCTGCTGAGAATTGCTGGGGAACAATGAACAAGTAGGTTCAGTCTATATATATATATGTAATTATTTTTTTTCTTAATTGTTTAAATAATGTCTCAGATTCCTACCCAGTCAGGTAGAAAGAGAAAAGATCTTGATCCAGCAAACCCTGGCTCATCATATTATCAAAGACTGGGGTGGCATCAGAGGCAGCAATGCTGGGGTAGGCCAACCCCAGAATACCATCAGCTACCATGTTTTGCATGAAGTCGGCTTCAGTCTTGCTCAGTCCAAAGATTTGGTTTTTGTCCGCAATGCCAGCAACCTAGGGAAAGACATGCAGTTACCTCTCGAACTATTTCTTAAAAATAGTAAATGTATTCTGTAATAATTAAAAACTATAGCTGAAGTGATCTACCAGCTTTGAATTTTCGCTGTTCACCAACTCTCACCTCCACAGTGTCATATCCGAGAACACCAGTCATGCTACCAGTTCCGTACTGGATAGAGAGGCTTCTCCCATCCCATTTGAAAGTGGAGGACGAACCTGGGTTATACTTCCTGTGATTGGCTGAAAACGGATGGACACACAAAGAGGTCGTCTTCATTGTGGTTAATGACTGTCCTTTTCTACCTAACTGTGGGAATACTTTTTCAATTGCATGAGTACAATGGGACTGTCAGACTCTGCTTTCTTAATTGTATATCACTTTGGATAAAAACATCTGCTAAATGTGTAAAATATGATGGAAAACACACGTACTGCAAGCCGGACTGGAACAGTAGACAGATGGGACCCACAGGTTGGAGGACCCAGTATCCATGATCACACTGAAAACTTGGCCAGGGGTGCCAATGGAGATCTCACCGTAGTAAGAAAGCTGGAAGATGAGGAAAAACAGAACATACCTGATTTTCTCACAACCAGTTAATCCTGAGAACCACATATAATATTAGGAAGCAATGGAAAAACATTTAACAGTATATTTTTTGCAGGTTATAACACCATCGGATGAAGGGATGGTAGAAAAGAACATGAATTTAAAAAAGAAAAGAAAAAAAAAGAACATGAATTTAGACTCACGTCAGCATCATTAGTCAAGGGCTCGCTGGCAACAGCAAAGTTTGAATCAAACTTGGCAAAAGGGTTGTAGTGGTGCTTTAGCCTGTATTGTTCCCAAAGGCCCTTCTCCTCCAGACGCTCCCTGGCACTCTTACCCTTAATCAGGGGGATCCTGTGACAAAGAGGACATGCCTACTAGTTAAAAACCAACAAATGAATAGTAAGGAATTTGTTGACAGAACAGGCTATAGACCTGCAGTTGCACTATGCTTCAGGCTGAGTTTGTAAGTGAAACAAGACGACTTAGAATGAAAACTGAGGTCATTCTCAGGATTCAAGCTACCATTATTTGATACAAGCTCTGATGATGATGGTGCATTTATGTCACGTCGTTGGTCCAGCATACTTGGAATTACAATGTGAAAGTTATTTGATCTAAAATTAGTATTGCAGGCTACATCCAAGAAAACGAATTAGCCAAAAATTTCTTTTTCATATTGCTAATGAAAAAAGAAATAGACTTACTTGTGCAGGCACTCGGAGAGTGCGATCAGGGCACAGAGAACAACAGCCCACTTCATCATATCTGCTCGGCTCCCAAAGACTTCTTACCAGACTTTGAAGTAAAGTATACAGTTGTAGGTCGCCTGGCTCCTTTTATATAGATGGACCACCGATTATC